TAACAGACGCTCAGTGGATATTCACACCCTGCAACAAAGGGCAGGGCCCATTGTACAGGTGGGGAAACTGAGGCCTGGGATGCCAGGTCCAGCACTGACTCACTGCAGTGCTTGGGTTAAGTCACTTCTGCTCGCTTTCTCCTGTTAACATGCACCCATAAGCTGAGTCACTCCTAACAACCAACACCCTTCCCGTGAGGGCTAAGGGGTCAGTCCCAAAGTAACAAAACCCATTATCCATCACTTCACCAGGGCCCGACTTGTCACCTTGCAACACCCAGGGTGGCCTCCAGCCCCCCAGATCCATGCCATAGTTTCCCTCCTCTCAGGTGACCCAAATCCCAATTCACCGCCACTCGGCAGGTTTGCTCTGGTGAGAAATCCCCTCCCCACGGAGGCGGTAGTTTTGGCTATAAAAAAATCATTCCCGGGACAATCGACTGGGCTGCTAAATCCACTCCCCAGCCTGGCTGGCAACTGGCGGGGGGTGGCAGGGCCGGGGGAGGGAGGGAGCAAGTTTGCCCCGAAGACACACCAACGGCCCTCCATTCTCATGGAGTTGCATCATTTTATGACAGCATGGAATCCGGGCTGACAGCCCTTCCTCATTCCTGCGGAAGGGGGATTCTGCAGTGCTGGTTTTCTCCCCCAATTCCCTCGATTACAACCCCAGCCACTTCCCTCGCAAGCTGAAGTGCTTCCCCTTCCCCTATGACACTGCGGGAGGGGTCAGGTGGGGAGCATTGACGTCAAGCGAGTGAGGCAACTGCCTCCACCAGTCACTGCCCCATGAGCAAAGGGTTCCCCTTTTCTATTTTTAAATGTCCCCCTTTCTCATTTTCCAAATCCAGTCAACCCTAGGGTGTGTGTGTGTGGGGGGGGGGAATCAGCTGAGAGAAAGGGACGCCCCTTTGTAGCCCTCTAACCCACCCTGATTGCTGTGGCCAGATGGACATCACCCGCGCGCGTGCGCCACGACATCCCACGCGCTGGCTCGCTGGGGGAGACGATCCTGCCGTGGCCTGGGCTGTACTGCCCTGTCCCTTTGGCCCCAGGCTCCATCCCACACGCACCGGTGGTAGGAGTCATGGAGGGAGAACGAGGTCGTTCATTCCTCCTCCCTACCCCCACCTGCATCCTCCCTGCTTATCAGCACTTACAGGAAAGCGGCTCTCCAAACCGGCTCCCTTCCCGTAAGGCAACGCTGGCTGCTGGAGGAAAACGTGGCACGGGGCTGCCCCGGCTTTGGCCCCAGGCTCCATCCCACACGCACCGGTGGTAGGAGTCATGGAGGGAGAACGAGGTCGTTCATTCCTCCTCCCTACCCCCACCTGCATCCTCCCTGCTTATCAGCACTTACAGGAAAGCGGCTCTCCAAACCGGCTCCCTTCCCGTAAGGCAACGCTGGCTGCTGGAGGAAAACGTGGCACGGGGCTGCCCCGGCTTGGGCGCTGCTTTGCCGCAAGGGTCTTGAGTCATAAAAAAGGATGCGAGGCAGAGGGGGCCATCAACAGCTGCCATCTTGGGTGGGAGGGGCCTCTGCCAACAGCCAAGGGTGAATGCTCCGGAGGAACCATCCACCCCCATCCTGAGCAACTCTGACCGATTTGCTCCTGCCCAGTCCTAAAAGAGGAGCGACACTTCTCATTCCTCTGCTGGCTCCAACCTCCCCAGATGCTACCTGAGCCATTCTGGACTAATTTAAAAGCTGCTGAGAGTGATTTCCTGCAGCAAGGAGTTGCACAAGTTAATTATGCACTAAGAGCAGCAGTACCTTTTACTCTTGCAGCCACAGGAAGAAAAAGGAGTAGCTGCAGGGGGAATTGCTCCCCTCCTCCCGCCACGGGCTCCAGGAATGGATATGGCAGGTGATCTACGCCCACCCCCTCCTTTATTGCTGCCCCTCCCCTCTGGAAAACAAGGGTGGGGGTGAATCGCTCCAAGTTACATAACAAGCTTACATCAGCGTCGGGTTCATTATTGTTGCTCTTCGTATCCGCTTGGCGAAGACACCAGACTACAGCCCAGCCTCGGGGCTACACCCAGCGGAGCTGGCTCGGCTGGGAAGCCTGTGTCCCAAATGCCCCATTATTTGGCTGAGTCAGCCAGGGACTCTCCCACCTGTGTCCCCCAATGCCTGCTGGCGGGAGGGAGGCAGCCCAACAGGAAGGAAATGCTAATCTCGCTCGCAGGACACACTGCTCCCTTCCCCAATCCCCACAGGAGCGTCTGCAGCCAGCCACGCTGAATCGCAGGCCATGGCAAGACGCCCGCTGGGGTCGAGGCAGCAGGATGGCGCTGTTACCCCAGGCAGAAACGACCACGCCTGGCCAGCTTCCCCTGGTAATCCTTGGGGCCTGCTGCCTGCTTGCGGCTGGCCCTCGCAGGTGCGGAGCACAGTCCAAAGCAAACGGTGCCAGCGGGAAGCTGAATCCAAGCTGGGAACTGACTTTCCCCGGCAGGGCTGTGTCAGCAGTATGTTCTGTCCCAGGCTATGCTGTCTCAGCAGCGGCTCACTGCCTGAATCAGACTCGTGCAGGACTCACGGGGGGCGTTCCACAAGGAATCCCGATCAACAGTTCCCGGCAGGAATTTCTGTGTGTTCCTTGAACGGAACTGCTGAGCGATGAACTCGCTTTCTAGGCATGTCGCATGGACAGCCAAAGCAATGGAGACCGCTTTGCAGGGAAGGGGCCCCCGAATCCCAGAAACCTACACCTGGAAGGGACCTCAAGAGGCCTTCAAGTCCAGTCCCCTGCCCTCATGGCAGGACCAAGCACCATCTAGCCCAGTGATTCCCAAACTTTTCGGCATCACACCCCCTTTTTGATTGTTAAGAAACCCTCACACACACCCCAAAACAGCAGCAAAACTTGAGGAGGAAAAAAAAAAAAAGGAACTGACCGGGGCCACAAAAACAAAATTAGCAGCAAAACTTGGGGGGCGCTGGGATCTTTCGGAAAAGGCTTTCTTTTTCGAAAGATCAGCGTCTAGACTGGTGCTTTTCTGCGACAAAGCTCCGTGCCGGAAAAAAGTGGCAGCCATGTTTATGCTAATGAAGCGCGGGAGATTTAAACGCCCACTTCATTAGCAATTGCGATACGTCTAATTTACATCCCTTTTCCGAAAAAAGGATTTAGTCTAGACATAGCCCAGGTGTAGACAAGGGCTGGCAGAAATCCAATTTCAAGCAGGGATAAACGGTGGCTTCAGCTGTGCTAGGGCTGTGTGCCACTCGCAGCTAAGCATGTCCGTCGGGCTGAGCACCCAAGGGCCGGGGATACAGGGAACTGCAGAGGAAGGGGCCAGCTACAGAGATGCTAACGAACATTAATATTAACGAGCCCTTCACTGACCGGTCTTGGCATTTTCCCTGCCTCCAGCAAAACGCGATGAGTGAAGAAAAGATCAAGCAGCGAAAACCCAGCAAAGCCAACTGGCGACAAGATTATATGCCAGGCAACTCAGCGCCAGGGATGTAAAATCCTGTGTAATTGGGGGAGTTTACATTTAAGGGGGGATTGCTCTAAGCCCAGAGGCTCCCCCTCACCACAGCTGGGCTAGAGCGGCCTTCCCTGAGCCCACCACGGACAGGGACTGGAGCATGGCAGGCGGGAGCTGCTCCAGCCCCCCGCCCCCCATCCCTGATGGAACCCAGGGCTGGGCATTTAAAGCGAGCCCCGGGTTATCGAGTTCTGTCCTCCCAGCGGCAATGCCGAGCGAGCGCCAGGGCCAAGGGAACGTGCTATTTCTCACACGCACGAAAAGGGCATCTCCTGACTCAGTCCAGTGTTGCTGCCTGGCTGTCCCCCCCCGGTCACTGGGACCCTAGCCCCGTCCCCTAAACACCGGCCATGCATCGGTTATCAGAAGCACTTTCCCCATCCAGGCCCCGCTCCCAACGCTTCTCAGAGGGAGGGGGAGTATGTGGATGTCCCTGGAAGCTGCTGGCGGGTTTGGGGGCTCTGTCCCTCACCCCAGGCCTGGATGCTGGGCTCCCCCTGCATAGGTATTTTTATTTTTAAAATGGATTGTGTACAGAAGAGCTCCGGCCCACCGATCTCAAAGCAATAGGGCTGCATGGAGCCCAGAGCAGAGTCCAAAGGGGACTGCAGGCCATGCCGACAGATCAGGCTGCTGGCTGGGGGGTGGAATGCAGGACAAGACTTCAGCCAAGGGAAGAACCTTTCTGCTCACTGACAATGGTGGTTTTCCTGTGGCTGGAGAGGGCAGGCCCCAAGCC